TTACCTGAGAAATTATTTCTGATTTCATTTTTTCCAGATCCTCTTTTGTTGCCAGTTCAGAGTCCAGGTGGTTGAGTATCAGAGTGTTCCATCTCGTTTCCCTTTGGGGTTGCTGTAGGTGATCTGGAAATCTGTTTTTGAGGCTTATGTGTCTTCTCATTTCCACGGGGGTGGGGTGGGGGGTGGTGCTACTGGTGCCCGCACGGCTCATCTCCTCTGCCCTGGGAGCAGTGGAATGGCAGCCGCCATTTTTTGTTTTTTAAGAGAGGGTCTCACTATGTACTTTAGGCTGGCCTTGAACTCACTGTGCAGCTCAGACTGGCCTCAAAGTAATATTCTTGCCTTAGCCTCCCGACTGCTGGGATTACAGGTGCTACCACGCCGAGCTTATTCAAAAGGTTTTGAAAGAAAAAAGGGTATACCAAGAAAAAGCAAATGATCCTTTTTTGTTGTTTTTCTTTTTTGGTAGTACTACGGATGACTGGGGATTGACTGAATTCAGGGCCTTCCTACAAATCTGAGCTATATCCCCAAGACTTTTGTTTTTTGAGTCTCACTGAGTCAATAAATTGACTAGGCTGGGCTCAAATCTTGGATCCTCATGCCTCAGCCTTTCACAGTGCTGGGATTAAACCATGTACCACCATGGCTAGCTAAATAATGCAAAAGATTTAACAATCATTACATTTATGTTGATCTAGATTATGGATATACTGCCTTTGAACATTTTTATTTGATAATTTCTAAATAAAAAGTCCTCAGGGCTTACTTACCTGTATAGCCTTTATCTTGGGCCCCATTTCCAACAGAAATTCTATGTATCCTATAAAGCACCTACTCACACCCAATATATAATTCTTTCCATTTTTCCATTCTTATTCCTATATGTGGCTAAACAGCTTATACGCCTCTAGAATGTTTTATTCATCTTTTGCATTTTTGTGCTCCACAAATCTAGGCCTCAATTTCAGAGGTTCATCAGCAGGTCTGATATTCTCATCTTCAGGGTTAGCAATCTCCCTTGAGTTATCTATCAGTCCGAGTGACTTTATTCCCTATCTCCCGGAGACATTAATTTACAGTGAACTTCTTCCCAACCATCATGCTCAAAGGAGTCTTTGATAGACACAGTTAGGCTTTCCCTGATGAAGGATTTGTACAAGTTCACCTTGGGGATCATGTTTGCTGGAATCAACAGAAGATTTGAACTTTGGGTCATGACTCAAAAAAATTCAAAGGCAACTAGACCCATACCAACATCAGTGTAGCCAGCTTCCCCAACTCTACATTCCATAACAGCTCTAGGATTCTTTATTCCCTCAAATGTTAGAAGCAAATTTTGCCATTTAAGCCAGCCCTTGAACTACATCTGTAATCCTAGCACTTGGGAGGCTGAGGCAGGAGGATTGACACAAGTTCAAAGCCAGCCTGGACTTGAGTGAGCTCAAGGCTAGCCTGGACTACATAATGAGACCCTGTCTCAGAAAAAAACCAAAAGTACATAAAAAAATAAATAGGAATTTTTTAAAATGTTGCAGCTTACACAATACACATTTGCCATTATAGCACTCTTATGTCAAGTCTGTGCCAGACATCAAAGGATCAAAATCAAGGTATCCACAGAGCTGCATCCCACTCTGGAGGCTCTATGGATCAGCTTTCTTGATGACTTGGAACATTGGTAGAATTTAATTCCTTGCCATCTGTTTCCTTGCTTGGTGCTGGCCAAGGGTTATTCTCAGCTTCTAAAGGTCACCCAAATTCTGGGATCATGGTGCCCTCCATCTTTAAAGCCAGCAACATCACAACTCTCACATATAGCCCTCTGCCCAGATATGAAAGGTTTTGCTTTTGAAGGCTCACAAGATTACACTAGGCCACCTGGGTAATACATGGGATGCTCTCATTTCAAGGTTCAAAATCTTAATCAATCTGCATCCTTTTCTCGTGTAAGGGGGTGTATTCTCCGACAGCTTGCTGCCAGCATGTGTGAACCACTGGTGATTATACCGAAAACCAGAACTAGCAGGATGACTGAAGAATTGCTAGCAGATTCACAATTCCAACACCAGAAGGAACCTCTACTCAGCAGCTCCAGTCATAGGAGAGCAAAAGACATTCCTGGTACAGTGCTTGCAATTCTCAGGGCATCTGTCCCTATTGTCAACTCGTCAGACCTCTTCCGTTCCATAACATCCAACTGCCTGTCCATCATGGCAGGCCTTACGCTTCTACGGATGGGCTTGACAACCTGAGTTACTCCTCCCACAGCACATCTTGCCACTGTTCTGAACTGCTGGGTCTCAGAGCTGCCATTTGAGAACACAGGACACAGCTCTGAAGACAGTGCAGGACCCACACCTCAGGAGCAAGGTTCCTGGAAAGCCAAAGATCTTCCTGACAAACAGTGAAAAAATAGGGACAGAATTTCTGCTCACATTCTTCTCACCAAAACAAACAAAAACAACAACAAAAAAACAAACCAGAAAAGGGTACTATGGAGGCTCATCAGGAGTTCCTGACTGGTTTTCTCTTTTGCTATGTGTTTTATAAGCTGTGTCCCTAAAAGTTTCTAATGTGTAACCAAATGGAGGAGCCACTGCTATAGATTTTGAAGAGAAATACAATTTTTAGTTCATAAAACTTTTCAAACAAAATTATCTATTTGTTTCATTAGCATTTAAGTATCTTAAAATTACAATAATCACATGACACACAACTAAGATTCAGAAAAGACAAATTTTGTGTTTCAATTTGTTCAGTAAGGAGGTAACAAAAATTTTTACCCTCTATTCCCTAAATCCATAATTCAATTTGGTATATACTTTCTAACACTAAAATTGAGGATTTTTTGTTTTTGGTACTGGGGATTGAACTTGGGTCCTTGCGCTTGTGAGGCAGGTGTCAGAACTGAGCTAAATCCCTGGCCCGAGGATTTTTTTGAATTAGTCTTTTTTTTCGCTACCAGGGACCGGACTCGGCGAAACCACTGAGCTAAATCCCCGGCCCTGAATTAGTCTTTTAAAGATGGTAATTATGAAAATATATTTGACAGAGCAGGAAATAAACCCTTATCTACTGGTTTCTAAATCATTCTCTCTTTTGTCATTAATATAATAAGGCTAAGGAAATTAATGTTTTATTATAAATTGAAGATATAATTTCAACATTTTTCTATAATCAAGAAATTTTTCTGTATTATATAATCAAAAATCAGTTACAAATACACATATACATAACTTTTAAATTCATTTTTTTGAAAAGTGGAAAAAATACTGGGTCATTATTCCTCTGCAGATGAGTTGATACTATGAAGGGGCTCTGATGGCTTTATCGGGATACTCTTCCACATCACAGAAGAACATTAACTCTGGAGAAGAAATGAACAGGTCATACTTAGAATAGTTTCCTTGTACCTCCAAGCGTTTTACAGCTTAGTTATGAATAGTCTCTTGGAGCAGTGACATAATACACAGTAACAGAAAACGCTAGAGTACAAGTATGATTTCTTGACAGTGAAACCTGGTAAGGGTGTGCTAATAACAAATGTACATATACTACATGTTTAAATATTCAAGCTTTAAATGTATTATAAACCCTGAAAAATAAAATATACAGTGGAGATAACGTACCAGGAAATTTAAGACACTCGGGGAACCTAAGATCATTAAACAGCTAAAAGGTTTAATTTTATAGTGACAAATAATCTAAAATGTAGAGGACAGAAATAGAAGAAGACTTGGAACTACTACTAAGCATGTACTAGGTTATCGTAAATGTATTATCCCATTTAATCACTGAAACAATTCTACAAGCTAGGTATTATCCTCATCTTATATTACTTCATGTTCACCAACACTGAATGATGGTAAGACGTCTTATGACTTGCAGAGCCCTAGAAGAGAGCAGGTTCTGGAACTGTTCACCAGCTGGCAAATGGTGACGTAGACTGAAGCCTGCAGATGCCAGTCAGATGGAGCTTCAGTCCCAACCACAGCACAGGGTGTTACTACTTGACATTTTTATAAGTCAACTATTATTTAGCACAGATAATGAAATTTATTAAAATGCTAAGAAATACAGCAAAAGAAAATCTCAAGGAGCTAGTAAAACAAAGTCCTCCGATGAAAGCAATTTGATGAAAAATTCTTTAAATAACTGAAAGTTATAGCAAGTGAAAGAAAAACAGCAAAATACATAAAGCTTAAGATTAGATTCCAGGGTGAGAGTGCAGAGCCACTGTGCAGAAAGCAAGATGTCTAGGACAAATGCTCAGCACGGCCAAGCACTGCGATGGACGAGCACTTTACAACAGGATTCCTCTTCTCAAGTGTCCCAAAGGATCTGGGTCTAAAGAACAGTGAATCCTGCAGGGCACTGGGCACTAGGGCTAGAACTAAACACTTCCAATAACTAATAACTTTATGGAGAGTTAAGAATTTGCACCAAGTAGAGGAAGAAGAATTCACTTGAGTATGTGTCTAGCAGACAGGCTACACAAATTAAGGATAATTTATTTCAAATTAAGAGATATTTTCATCAAGAGATGATAAAGACTGGTGAAGAGCAAAGACTGTCTCCATATGACCTGAAGGGTTCCAGGACAAGAGACCCCTCAGGGTTCAGACCTGACTATATAGGCCTCCTGCTCCTACTGCCATTTGGTCATCAACTTAGTTTCACTCTTCTTCTACAATTTTATTTTATACATACCTTTGTTGTTGTTTTTTTTAAGACAGGGTCTCACTATGTAGTTCAGGCTGGCCCTGAACTCACTATGTAGCCCAGGCTGGCCTTGAACTCACTGCAATTTCCCTGCCTCAGCCTCCCAAGTGTTGGGATTATAGACGTGTGCCACCAGACCTGGCTTGTTGTTGAGATATTATAGAGAATTTTAAAAATCATTAGAAAAGATTCAGGATACTCTCACATTATTTTTCTTTAATACCTTCACTAAGATCCAGGCCTGGTCTATAAGACAAAAATAGCCAAGACAATCCCACCAGAAGGGCCACCACCAAATTCACCACCATCCATGGGTGCAGAATCTGTTCCTCAATTCCCGCGGCCCTGGAGGTATAGAAATACTCATTAGAAATATCTTCAATTTGGTTCATATATCAAAGTATAGCTATTTTATGAACTTAAAAAAAGAACAGTCCTCTTCTAAAGAAATAACAAGTACAAAATAAAACAATTCCCCTACAAAATGCACCATATATATCAGGAGAACAAGGGTTCAAAGATTATTTGAATTCTAAATAGATGTGCTCTGCACATTACCGTAAGTGGAAAGTTAGTATTTCCAAAAAAGATTTCCTCAGTTTCCCCTCTTCAATTGAGCATCTGTTCTTTGTCTCGTAACTCATTCTCTAGCCAGTCACAAAACCAACAAACAGAGACACCAGCTGCCCCGCCTGAGTTCTCACTAGAACCTGAGCTGTCCTGTAGCTCCACTCTGGGCCACCACTCTGGAAACGTGGCTCTCTGCTCCACCCCCCAGCATTGCTTGGTTTTCTGAATCTGCTCCAGCCAGCCTCTCCCCTCACTGTCCTGACTGGGAGCATGAGGAGAGCTCCTCTGGTCCACTACACGATGACTTACAGATCTAAAACTTATTTTTGAAAAGACACTTCGGTAACAATCCAATAGCAATAGTTATTTCGAGGCAGTTGGCGGAACCACTGAGCTAAATCCCCGGCTAGCAATAGTTACTGCAATAACAATAGTTATCCCTTAACCAAAGGAAATTTCAAAATATTTTTAGAATTAATTTAGAATTAACTTAGAATTATTATTTATAGATGAAAGCATGAACAAGAATGGAAGGAAAAGTACTATTACTCCACTGCTCCTGTTCTACCATTAAGAAGCGCTACCATTGCCTGAATTCATACCAGAGACTGCTGTTAACAGAAGAAGGTGTGTAAAGGTGGATTCTGTCACTTGTCATCTGCTGACTCAGAGACAGTATAAGAGCAACAAAGTACACTGAAAAAAAGACAAATGAAATTACTAATAATTTTTACCAGCCCAGTTTATTTTGAATTTATAGGTTAAAAAGATCAAAAGTAATCTGTACTTCAGTGAACAACGATGTAAAAGAAATTCAGTTCACCAATTTCAAGCAACAGCCTTATTTCTCAGTAACAGAGGCACTGAGGATTGTTTCAGCTGCTCACCATTTTATCATCAGAACTGGCAAGAACCTGGACCATCTTTTAAGAAATTAAATTACTTGCTCAAGGTCCCAAAACTAGTTTTATTAATATTCTCAAAACAAAATGTATTCCAAATTAACAAAAAGATATAAAATAGTATTTATTACTGAGAGGCCATACCAGCTGAATACATTTTATTGAATACAATTTTTTGTTGAGTAAAAAGTAAAAAAGCTAAAAAATTAACTAATGTACAATAAATCAAACTTTATTTCTGATGGTGAGGATTGAACTCAAGACCTTATGCACAAATTAAACTCTAAAAGATTATTTAAATGAACTTCTATTGAAAGAAAATTCTATCAAAATTATGCCTATCATGTTTTTAATTACAAATTCACTAAACTTCTATAAAAGTAATAATATAAAACTAAAATAATATAAAACTTTAAAAAAGTAAAATAGAATTGTATTTTTCCTGGTTCAAAATTCCAGTATAACTTAAGTAAACTATTACTTACAAAAAGATGCTAAAGCTGTTGGGTCCAGGGCAAAAAAATTTCGGATTGCTGCTGATGTCTTAGCAAAGTCAGCTCTAGAAAACAGAAAGCCTTCTTGTCATGCTGCAGTTGTAAACCTTCTCACAAATACTCACTTTCCTGCCTATGACCCTTTCCTTCTCTATTCTCCTGCTACCACAGATTGTCCATTACAGGAGTGGTTCCCAGCACTTTTGGCACCAGGGACTGGTTTTGCTGAAGACAAATTTTCTACAGATGGCGGGAAGCGGGGACCTCAGCTCCACCTCAGATCATCAGACCCTAGGTTTGCGTGAGGAGGAAGCCCAGACCCTCCCTGCGCTGCCCACAGGGCGTAGAGCTCAGGAGTGGCACAGACCTGTGAAGGTCACAGCCAGGGATGCAGGATCCATGTATCACAAGACTTTACGCAGCTGTGCTTTATACCTACATGCAAGAGAATATCCTGTTTACAAAGACACACATCATATCTAACCAGAGGACTGTGTTAGGCACACTCCCTTGGAGGTAAGATATCCTGAGAAGACAAATTAAACTTGATCTGCAAAATTCATTCGCTCTTATTTCTTTCCATTCCCCATATCATGAAACGATAAAAGTTTTTTTTTAAGTGCAGAATTGTAGCCCTCCGAAAATATACTGGAAGGGCCAGGGATGTAGCTCAGTGGCACTGTGCCTACCTGGCAAGAGCAAGGTCCTGAGTTTGATGCCCGGTACGGGCAAAAAAAAAAAGTTACCAAAAATATATTGAATTTGTAATCCTTGTTATGTGTGAATATGACCTTATTTGAAACACGGTTTTTGGAGAGGTAACTAAGTTAAGGTCACCTTAATCCAAAGACTGACTTAAAATAATGTTAAAAGTAGTATTAATATCCTGAAATTCTATTGGAAAATTGTCATAGCCAGTGACACATGTCTCAGCATCTCCTCTTGAAGAAAATAGAGGAATCTGCACGTACAAGTCTTACCTATCGAACGCCGAGACTGTACTTAGAGCCAAAAGCAAGTACAGGAGGCTCTGGAATGGGTACGCTAAGGTCTTGTACTGCAGCAGAAGGTTGGGGAGGTTCGACAGCTGTGCACCTGCTAGCGCGTAGATCACACCAACATTCCACACAGCACAGCCTGCCAGGAAGCCATGAGAAAAGAGACCAACCATCCTGTAGGGAAAAGGGTTGAGCTGCTAACCATGAACTGCCACAGAAAAAGGCTAAACAATTTGTTTTGTTTTGTATTTTGGGTACCCGGGATTGAACTTGGGACCTTGTGCTTGGCGGCAGAACCACTAAGCTAAAGCCCCAGCCCTGCTTTGTTTTGAGATAGGGTCTCGCTATGTAGTTCACACTGGCCTTGAACTCACAGCGATCCTCCTGCCTCAGCCTCCTGAGTGCTGGAATTACAAGAGTGTGCCACCACGCCCCGCTAAACAATTTTTAAAAGCTCTTCACATATAAGAATGAAATTCTACATATTATGAAAAGTGAGAACAAACCTCTCCTCTCCTCAGAGCTGAGGATCAACCTCACATGTGCTAAGCAAGTATTCTCCACAGACTGCATCCCACCACCAGGCCTTTTCTTTTTACTCACACTGAGAGGCAGATCATTCAACTCCAATGGAATGTTTAGAAATATACCTGCATACCATTTTTAGTTGTCAGTTTTGGTAATGATATCAAATGGCCAGGACTTTTAAAATGTTTAAGCCTTGAAATCCGGGGAAGCCGTCACCTGAAGGCCCGGTGCACAGAAAGCGCCACATCTCTGGTGCTCCCACAAGGCTTCACATCCATGGTCACATCGATGTTTTCTGTGGTCTTTATCAACTCTGAACGGTCAGCAGCCTGGAATCGCCCTAAGAATATGCAACAACAGCAAACAGCAAGAGAGAAACCATTAGTAAACACATAAGAAGCCTCGACTAAGAAAGTTTGCTGTTTTTCTATCTAAAAACTCTCTGACTCAGTTTTTTTGGTTGCTTAAATGTACTGTTTCATCATCTTTAAAAAAAATAAGCCATGTTGGGCTGGGGATTTAGTTCAGTGGTTCCAGCGCCTGCCTTGCAAGCGCAAGGTCCTGAGTTCGATCCCCGGTACCAAAAAAAAAAAAAAA